TGCAAGCCATCCCTGCATATCCTATGAACTTATTCAAGTTTCCTACTTCCCTATGCAATGAGTTGGATGCCATGATATCAAAGTTCTGGTGGAGGCAAAAAGATGGTGAGCAACGTATTCATTGAGTGTCTAGAGAGAAGTTGGGGTGGGCTAAGGATATGGGTGGGTTAGGTCTAAGGAGTTTTGAGATGTTCAACGATGCCCTGTTGGCTAAGCAGTGTTGGAGATTAATTGAGGGGCTAAATTCTTTGTGGGCGTTGGTGTTAAAGGCCGGATACTTCCCTAATTATTCTTTCATGGATGCTAAAAAGGGCGGGAGAGCCTCTTGGGCCCGGTCTAGCCTCATCACTGGAAGGGATATATTATACAATGGAGCTCATTGGCAGATTATGAGTGGAAATGAGGTTAGGGTGTGGGTTGATAGATGGATCTCGTCTATTCCATTGAGAATACCTTCTCCCTTTGGTACGGTTCAGGTTTCTAATCATTTGTTGGTAAATTCGCTGATTTGCCCAGAGAATGGGATGTGGGACATTGATTTTTTGAAACCTTTCTTGGAGAGGTCCGAGTTCGAGGCTATCCTTGGGACGCATATTGGAGACCCTTTGTTGCGAGATCATTTGGTTTGGCCCCTAGATAAAAAGGGGATTTATTCAGTTAAATCCGGATATAAATGGGCGGTTGGTCAGAATCAGTCCCTTGGGGGTGTTAATATACGATCCTCGGTCATCATTCCTGCCCATTTGTGGAAGTGTGAAATCTCGTTCTTGGATTTCATTATTATAATCCACGTATTGGTATTATAGAGATTTTATATTATTTTTCAGGAAATTAATTATTTAAAATCCTTAGACCATTCAAAGTCACAATTTATATTGTTGAATAGATATCGAGATCACGAACACATAGGCAAAAGCCGTTTGCGAGTTCGGATTATAACGGTATAGTTACAGACGTTTGAAGTTGTTGCAAAAAAAAAAATTGAAAAGAGAAGAAAAAGCCAAGGGAGTGGCTGAAGGAAAAAAAGAAAAGGAAAGCCATGAGAGTGGCGAGAAAAAGAGGGAAAAGAAAAGAAAAAAAATAAAAAAAGAAACAGAGGAGGAAAAGGAGGGACCAACGGGGGGAAGAAGGAAAAAAAAAAAGAGAAGGAAAAAAGGGAGTTGCAAAAGAGAAGGGGGAAAAGAACGTTCTTCCACGTTCTTCCTGGCTTTGCGAGGAAAGAAAAAGAAACAGGGAGGAGGTGGCTCTTCCATAGCTGTTGGAAGAAAATCCTTCTTTCTTCAGGCAAAAATTGGAGAGAAAGGAGTTAGAGAACGTGATTGTGAAGGAAGGATTCAGAGATTTAAAGGGTAAATTCCTTGTTACTTCATTATCTTGATTTTCAAATTTAACTTTCTTAAGTTGAATTGAAATTGCCATGATATATTGGAGTTCTTAATTCTATTTAGGGTTTCTATCATTCAATGAACTAGTCTAAACATGAATTAGAGTTGGGTATTTTGGATTGGGTGTGTAGATCAAATTTCTTGATCAAGGGTTTGGTTCAAAAGGTCAATTTCTTGTTAATTTTGAGTCATGTTAGTTTTGGATGTTGTATACATGACTTCTGGACTACCTGGAAGTATTTTGGGATTTGTTATATGAATTGGAAGTGGGCTGTTACGTAAGCTGCAGAAAATTGATTTCTTTGCAAAGAAAACTCAAGTTTCGAGTAGCCTTCTTTGGCTCTTAATTTTTAGGCCTTTATGTACTCCTTTGGAGAAAATTTTTAGTGTGTTGAAAGTACATATGTTCATGGTCGTAACCCAATTGTTTTCACTCAGATCCGTTGAGTTTTGGTTGATCAAAACCTTATTTAAACTTAGGTCGCGAGCTGCCAAACAGCAGCAGAAAATTGGGTGTCCAGTTTCAAGACTCCGTTTTTCTTTTGGCATAACTTCCAATCTAGAGCTCCGTTTTCTACAAACTTTGTATGCTTTTAAGGTACAGAACACAAGCTTCAAAACCCATATAATATTACATGATTTGGTTTAGTTTTGAATGTTCCAAAAGGAGCCTAAACTTGGTCCAATGGTGCTGTTTTCTGCAAATTTTGTGGAGAAGCAGAGTACTGTTTTTGCCACACCTAGTTTCTTTCCAGATTCCTTTCTAATCTTCTTTACTACTAATTGAGTGGTGGTATTAATATCATTTGTGGATATGACATGGTTTTATAAATGTGTTTTCTATTAAAATGTGATTCTTTTATAATTGGCCATCGATCTATTTTTATTAAATGTGATTTGATTCATGGATGGGTATTATTTGTGGAAGATTGATTCGAATTGCATATTGAAATGTGAATTATATATATATATATATATATATATATATATATATATATATATATATATATGCCATAGACCCATGTTAATTAAATGTGAATTCTATTGAAGTGTTATTTTATTTTTGGTCATTGATCTATTTTCATTAAGTATGATTTGACTTGTGCATTGGAAATATGGTTTGTATTGTATGATTGGATTGATGTGATGAAATACGAGGGCTAGTAGTGGACCATTAACCATTGTTATGGGGTTTGTTGCCTTCGAAACATGTTTCAACCCTCGTGTCATTATTCATCCTCGTTTCGTTGAGTCTTTGTACCTTGAGTAACTCGATCCATGTCTTGTTTTATTGATTGGTGTTACACATTCTACTCTGCGATTCCGTTGAGTGATGATCCGGAATCATATTCTGGTTTGGATTCTGTTGCGTGATGGTCCGGAATCCCTTTTACTTCGCGATTTCGTTGAGTGATGGTCCGGAATCCTTTCTACTCTACGATTCCGTTGAGTGATGTTCCGGAATCATATCTAACTTGGGTTTCATTTAGTGGTGGTTATGCATTGTGCTCCGCGATTCCGTTAAGTGATGGTCCGGAATCATATCCACTTGGATTTCATTAAGAGTTGGTTCGGAATCCCTCCTACTTCGTGATTCCATTGAGAGATGGTCCGGGATCATGTTCACCTTGGGTTTTATTGAGTTTGGATCAAGATAGCTTCAGAGATGTAGGCTTCGGCCGAACTGTGTCGCTCTAGCCCCACTTTTCATGGTGTTGTATGAGATTATGATTATGAGCTGTTGTGATTTGTTCCAGATGAACCGTTGGATGTCTGGGTGACTCCTTCGAAGTTGTTAGAGTTCCTTAGAATTTGTGAAATGATATGTTACTGCATTCATTGATTAAACAATTAAATGCTAAGATCATGTATCTTTGATTCATGATTAATTAATTGATGTGATTGTGGAATGAAGTTGGGTATGATTGAGATTATTATGATTAGAGTAATTGATTAATGTGACTTGAGAATAACATTGCGTTGGTTATTTGATATGTTACATACTATGATTTGCGGTATTATGTGAAACACAGTGATTTATATGATGGATGAATTGGAAAGTATCTGTGTGAGAATGGGTTACATGCGTGTATGAAAGATGATAATTGTTGTTGACATAAGGTTGATGTGTAATATGGTGCCTTATGATTTTCTGTTAGAAGTATTTTACGGAAAGATTAGAGTTGACGATTGTGGAACTACGAATGACTTGATCCCTATTGAGGGTACGTAGGTAGTTTAACGAAGAGGTTAGATGCAGCCATAAAGTATACTCAAAATTATTATGCATCTGGATGTTGAATTATATTTTGTACATATCCAAAAGGCGGGGTATGTTGAGTTACGGGCATTTAGGGACGTCACGTATCGATCTTGGACGTATGTTGGAATCGGGGCGTGACAACTTTAATGGTATCAGAGCAAATGATCCTACTCTATGATATGCAACCTTCTCGAGTCTTGTTTGCGTGAATTACGATATGCATTGTGGTTGCATGATTTCATAATTTTTTTGGGCGTAAAGATGCATTCATGTGATATATGGACACATATACATTTGAGTTACATATATGAATTGCATTGTGTTGTGGTGAAAATTCCATGATGATTATGAAAAATCTCATTAATGAGAATTATGATTTGCATTGGTATTGCATTATTCCTTAAGTTCTTTGAGTAATGAGAAAGTTATGTGAGAAGTATATTTATGTTGTGAATCATCATGAAGTGAAGTAAATTGGATTGATAATATTTTTGAAAAAGTGAATTGAATAGCATATTGGAATGGTTGTTAAATTGAGGGCTAATAGGAGACCATGACCCTGCTTGGTTAATTCGCGATAGGGGGTCATTAGTGGCTCTGCTTGGTTAATCCGCGTTGGGGAACCATACTATATACGGATTGCGCTTGGTTAATCCGCGTTGGGCGATCCTTATGGCCATTTATACTTAGGAGTGATCATGTTTGGTTAATTCGCGTTGGGTGATCATTGCCTAACAGTTCTACAGGTGTGACTCTGCTTGGTTAATCCGCATTGGGGGTCACTACCTACCTGATTATCTTGACCCTGCTTGATTAATCCGCATTAGGGGTTTCTCACAACAAAAACAAAACTTCCTTTAAACTCTCTCTCAACCATCTAGTCTCTCACCTTAAACCAAAGAGCACCCTTTGCTGATTTCTCATGGTTTTATGTTTAGTTTACTAGGTTATCTTCATTTTTTATGCTCTTTGATTACGTTTGAATATCAATATCTACTCTATATCTATATACATACATACATATATATATTGATTAAAAAAGTGTGTAGGAAATGGAGGGGTTCGAGAGTAAGGGTACTGGGTAGTATTCAAGAGGCTACCTCTTTTATGCTTCAAGATCTCAATTAATTGTTATTTTTTCATGGTTAAGAGAAATGGGGAATTTTTTTGTCATTAATGGTATATTAGTACTTTTATATCAAGTTTTGGTTAAAATTATCGTAAAACTAAAATAATGGCTATAATTCTATATGGGATCTAAAATATGGTCGCTTTTCCAAATTTCTCAGTTAAGCTAATGAACAAGTTTTTAGTCATTAAGGGTATTTTATTACTTTTATATCAAATTGTGGGTTTGGTAGACTCACCAGGACGACGCCTTAGTAACCAACTAAGTGCCATTCTAGGATCTTGCATGATGAAGTACCCTGTGGATGAGTCTGTAGCGTCCATCGGATAACACGTTTGTTATCTACAACAACGTGGGGCGTGGAGCAAACCCCGCGACATGTAACACGAGATGAGTTTGGTAACTCTTCTTACAGTGGGAACTTCGTAAAGCAAAAAGAACGAGGTTTTCATTCTTGCATGTCTACAAAACTCTGCAAAGTAATCGTTGTATCATGACACGGTTATTCGATGTTGTACTCCGACTTAAGCCACTACAGTGGCAGAAGATTTTAGAAGATCTTCGTAGCATCAAAGGGATTCTTTCTAAGGTCCAATTGATACTATTCGACGGTTATACTAAGGAGTACTGTGCATAAATTTAAAAGGATGATCATAATTTTATATTTTTCCAAATATCCCGTCCGGACGCGTCAATCCATTCAATCTTCTCAAAGTTTGAAGCTTTTGAGCAAGAACCCTCCTTCCTTTCCCAATCCCCCGATTTCCCAGTTCTGCAATTTCTCCATTGTTTCACTCCAGGCTGCCTGAACCTTTCAATCTTCAACTCTCCTGTTCTGAAAGAAAAGAGGTAACTTTTTGGACATTTTTTTTGGTTTTTTTGTTTTAGATGTTGAACGATCGTGGGTTTTGTGGGAAATTCGTTATTGTTGGTGTTTTTGTGATCTGATTGTGTAAATCGTATCGGGTTTTCGGTTGTATGTGAATTGCAAGTTTTGATTTTTCATGGCGCCTAAATCGTGTTTAGAATCAGCTTGAATGAATGCAATTTCTGATGAAAAAAATTGCCTGCGTAATTATAAACTGTATCGTCGTCCGAATAGCTCTTGTACGAATTTTTTGTGCCGTTTTCGTAGGTTTTCGTTGAAGTTGCTCAGTCCTGTGCTTTTGTTTTTGGCAGTTTTGTTGGTTTGATTGGATTTGATGGATACCAATAAGTGGAGGCCTTCTCAAGTTGGAGAGGCCGCCATGGATGCCGGCGATTGGAGGAGTCAGCTGCAGGCTGATTCGAGGCAAAGAATTGTCAACAAGATGTAAGTGTTTTACTTTTTCGATTTTTTTTTGTTTCAAGCGGTAGTCTAATTTAGCGTAATCTAATCTAAACTATGGTGAGAGGGATTCAAACTTAAAACATATTTTAGTGGATTGTATACGAATCCAGTTTTGCTATTATGAATGCCACCCCCGTTTTGAGTAACTGATGTTGGTTTTATTGCATGTATAGAATGGATACATTGAAGAGGCATCTTCCCTTCTTCGGACAAGATGGATTGCGGGAACTCAGTAAAATTGTTGTAAGGTTTGAGGAAAAGATTTATACTGCAGCCACAAGCCAGGTGCTTCCATAATACCAGAGTTCTTACCTATCTACTACATATATGATTTCTTAAAATAATGTTGTCTATGTTTGAACTTTCTTCATATTTTGGATAGAACTGTAATCTAAGTTTAGCATGGATTTTTTTTGTTTTTGTAGTCGGATTATCTACGGAAAATTTCTCTGAGGATGCTCACAATGGAGACCAAGTATCAGAATTCAATGGGCAATCCTTTACAATCTAACTCTGCTGGTAAGAGCAACAGGCCCCCTGATCCAGGTAAAAACAACTATTGAAACGTTCTTTCTTTTTCTTAATTATTCCTGCATTTCTTAACTGAGATGATTCGTACTTGATATCTTTATTCACTTGTATTTAATGGGTCAAATGATGAGTACAAATGACATTTATTGTATTCTTGTTTTGATGCTTGCTTATGTGGTATTTATTCTTGCTATTTTACTTGAATAGGGTCTTTTGGTATGCAACCCCAAGTCCCCAATCATGGGCAATCACTCTCTATGCCGTTACCAGCTAATCAATCTCAAGGACGCCAACCACTTTTATCACAGAGCATTCAGAATAACATTCCACCTGCTGGAGTTCAAAGTTCGTCTGACTTATCATCTGCACTACCTCCTTCTTCCGGTTTAACCCAGACTCCTATCCCAAGTATTGTTGGACAAAACCCAAACATGCAAAATATGTCCGGAAGTTCACAGAATTCATTAGGGAATTCCATGGGCCAGGGGGTACCCTCCAATGTCTTTGCTAATTCTCAAAGGCAAATGCCAGGAAGGCAACAGGTAGCTCCCCAACAGCAGCAGCCGCAGCAATCCCAGAATTCCCAGAATTCCCAGCAGTATATGTACCATCAACAGATGCAACATTCGCTTTTGAAGCCAAAATATCAGCAGGGAAATATGCCACAACTTGTGCAACAGCAACAGCAGCAGAACCTTTTACAACCGACTCAGTTGCAGTCTTCCCAGCAATCTGTTATGCCAACATCATCCTTTATGCAGCTTTCGGTGCAATCATTTCTCTTGAGTCTTCAGCAGAATCAACAATCTGCTATGCAACAGTCATCACAACCCATGCTTCAGCAGCATTCACAGCCAGTTCTCCGGCAGCAACAGCAGCCTCAACAGGTAGCTGTTCATCAACAACAAACACCAATGGCACAACAGCCAATTTTACCCCAACAGCAGCAGCAGCCGCTGTGGAGGCCTTCTCAAGTTGGAGAGGCCGCCATGGATGCCGGCGATTGGAGGAGTCGGCTGCAGGCTGATTCAAGGCAAAGAATTGTCAACAAGATGCAAGTGTTTTTCTTTGTCGATTTTTTATTTTTGTTTCAAGCGGTAGTCTAATCTAGCGTAATCTAATCTAAACTATGGCGAGAGGACTTCAAACTTAAAACATATTGGTAGTCAGTAACTGATGTTGATTTTATTGCATGTATAGAATGGATACGTTGAAGAGGCATCTTCCCTTCTCCGGACAAGATGGATTACAGGAACTCAGTGAAATTGCTGTAAGGTTTAGAGGAAGAGATTTATACTGCAGCCACAAGCCAGGTTCTTCCATAATTCCGGAGTTCTTATTTCATATGGTGCATGAAATGTTTGCGTACTTAATACTTACCTATCTATTTCATATATGACTTTTAAAAAATGTTGTCTATGTTTGAACTTTCTTCATGTTTTGGATAGAACTGTATTCTAAGTTTACCATGGATTTTTTTTGTTTTTGTAGTCGGATTATCTACGGGAAATTTCTCTGAAGATGCTCACAATGGAGACCAAGTCTCAGAATTCAATGGGCAATCCTTTACAATCTAACTCTGCTGGTAAGAGCAACGGGCCCCCTGATCAATGTTCTGCATGCAATGCTTTTTTTTTTTCTTTCTCATTTTTAACCCTCGCGTTCAAATTTCATTTTATGTGCAAACATTGACATATATATCTCTCTATATTTTGTAGCTTCTCTAGATTCCTCAGCTCAGACTGGATATGCAAGTGGGGGTGATTGGCAAGAGGAGGTCTATCAAAAAGTAAGATGTCCTGACTTCTTGTCCATTTGATGGCTTTCACATACAACATCTAAATATAAAAATGCATATTACTGGAAAATAATTATACTAATGCCAAAATTGCCTTGAATGGGGATTTTGAAGAATTACATGCTAGTTAAGATTCCTTGTGGGGCAGCTTTGTTAAGCTACCATCGGTTGGGAGTTAATTAAAACTTGCTTCATTAGATACAAGCATACATGAAATTCATGTTGTCTGAATTCATGGTTGCATGCACGGGCTCTTTTCCATTGGCATTGATGTTATGATGGTGTCGGCAATCATGTAGCTGCAGCAAAGTTCTTTCTAATCTTCTTTGTATTTATAACTTTCATTTGCAGATCAAAGTCATGAAGGAAGGGTACTTACCCGAACTAAGTGAAATGTATCAGGTAATTGCTACTAAAGTTCAGAAGGTATGTAATCAATTCAATTTTTTCTTCTCTCATAATTTGTTGCTTGAACTTTTAGCAATAAGCAGGGCTTTCCCTGCAAGGTTATTGTGGTGCTGCTCTTTGATAGATTCTACCTTGATCTCCCTATTAATTATTGTACCCATGTAGACCGTCTACATGGGATTGTTACCTCACCAATAATGCTAATAAGATTTCGCAACAAAGTTGTTACTCCGTATGTTGCCATTCTTTTGCTTACTGACGTCTGTTCTTTCTGTTTGCCAGCACGGATGCTCTTCCACAACAACCAAAGTCAGAGAAGCTTGAGAAGCTAAAAATGTTCAAATCCATGTTAGAGCGCCTCATATCAGTCTTACAGATTTCCAAGAGTAGCATTTCACCTGGTTTGAAAGACAAGTTGGGTTTATATGAGAAGCAGATGGTAAATTTTAGAAATGCAAATAGACTGAGGAAGCAAGGTCGTCCTCTGCAACAAGGGCAGCTCCCCCCACCTCATATGCACTCTATGCAGCAGCCGCAGTCTCAAATTCGTCAAGTGCAGTCTCATGAAAATCAAATGAACCCGCAGTTGCAAACAATGAATTTACAAGGTTCTGTGCCAACAATGCAGCAGAACAATATGACAAGCTTGGAGCAAAATTCAATGTGTTCGATATCTGGGGTTTCAACAGCACAGCAGAACATGATGAATTCATTGCAGCTGAGTACAAATTTGGATTCAGGACAGGGAAATGCACTGAACTCTTTGCAGCAAGTTCCAGTGGGATCTATCCAACAAACTCCTGTCAGTGCTTCCCATCAAGCTAACATGAATGGTTTGTCATCGCAGAGTGGGGTTAGTATGCTTCAGCCAAATTATTAACTCCCTTCAGTCAAATTCTGGTATGCTTCAACACCAGCAATTGAAACAGCAAGAACAGCAAATGTTTCAGAATCAGCTGAAGCAACAGAATCAACAGCAAATGCAGCAGCAATTTATACAGAAGCAGCAGATACCTGCAACAGCAACAGCAGCAACAGTTGCAGCAAGCAAAGCAGCAGCTTCCAGCGCAGATGGAGGCGAACCAACACCAAATGCCACAGCTTCATCAAATGAATGATGAAAATGACTTGAAGATGAGACAGGGGATGGGTGTTAAGCCAGGGGTTTTTCAGCAACATATATCCACAGGCCAGCATGCTTATCCGCATCAGCAGTTGAAATCAGGATCTCCATTTCCTATTCCATCATCAAACCAACTCCTTCAGGCTGCATCTCCTAAAATTTCGCAACATTCTTCTCCCCAAGTTGACCAGCAGAATCTACCGACTCACCCGAAAGCTGGAACACCATTGCAAACTGCCAGTTCACCTGTTGTCATGCCATCTCCTTCAACTCCCATGGCTCCATCCCCCATGGCAGGGGATTTTGAGAAACCTTCCTCACTACCAAATGCTGGGAATATCGGACATCAACAAGTAGCTGGGGTGGGAGCACCAGTCCAGTCCCTTGCATTTGGCACCGCTGGGATATCAGCATCTCCTTTGCTTGCTGAATTTAGTGTACCAGATGCTACTCATGTTAATGCTTTGTCAATTATTTTTGGCAAGTCGAGTGTTACCGAGCAGCCTCTTGAACGCTTGATTAAGGCGGTTAGTAAAGTGGTTCTTATTACATATTTCTCTTTTTGAGTACTGAAATCGATGTCACCTAATGCATTGAGTGCATCTGTCAGTGACATTGGCTCAGATGCATTGAGTGCATCTGTTTGCTGCTGTGAGGTGGAAGGCTGGGCGTTGTCATCATTGTGGTGCTGCTACTCCCGCCACTGCTGCTGCTAGAAGAAGAAACAAGGGCAAGAAGGATGTGACGCTGGAATAATTTATATCATTTGCAACGTACTACGCGGAAAAGTATTGTCAAACATAGGCGGATTCTGCTGATAATGCCAGGGCAGTGGAAAGGGAAGTGCAATGGGCACTGCACAGTGCATTGTAAAGTGGATTGCACCATTGTAGAGATGCTGGCGAGGTTCAACAAAACGAAGAAACCGCAAGCGCAACTGCAAAATGAATGGACCGCATTTTGAAAGATTTCTAGCTATTTGCCAATAAATTAATTAAAGAGACTGCATTTTTTTTGACGTTGTTTGTGTGTTTGGAACAGTAGAAATGCTTATTTACTTTTATTGTATGACTATGGGAATGATTTATCATCAGTTTTACTTTTATATGGTTGAATTAGAGGAGCTGTCCCTCTCTCTCTCTCTGTGTCTCTCTCTGTCTCTCTCCCCCTCGTATTAGTATACTGCAGCCACAATCCAGGTACTTCCATAATCCTGGGCCGTGACTTCACAATGGAGACCAAGTATCAGACCACAGAGGCCCCTCCAACCTGAAAGGGCGTTGTGTTTGCGCATCACATCTTTTCTATCGAGTTTGTCAATTGTTCCAGATGCATCATCATCTTTGCCATATGGTTTTTATGCTTCTTTGGTCTGAATTTCCATGTTCTCATGGCCTCATATGCTACTACTTCAGCTTCTCTCCTCCATTCTCTGAATAAAAATGTGATGACTTTATAAGGGTAGAGGATAGACATAATTGCTTTTCGTCATTATGATAAAACGTCATCTGCATGTATTGGCTTTTGTTAGGGGTGAGGAGGTTGGTTGGGGTGCATAGACATAATTGCTTTTTGTCATTATGATAAAACGTCATCTGCATGTATTGGCTTTTGTTAGATAGAAAAAAAATTGCTATACCTAGAGTTTGGTTGTATTCTACCTTTGTACTAATGGTTTTTTGATCTCCATTTCGTCGGATGAGGTAATGGTTTCAAAATCTCATGGGACAAGAGGTTTTATTGAAGATTTCATGCCAACCACATGTATTTACTCACATGTGAAATCATTTGATTCTTACATTTATTAACACATGAAAATAAAAGTTACGTGATGCTTACTATATGCAATTTAATACCAAAAAGGTCAAGAAGTAGATTAAATGAGGAATAATTGATCTCCTCCTTGTTCTGTCTTCTTTGAAAAGCAATAAAGTGTAAAGTTATATAATTAATAAATTTAAAATTAAAAATAATATAAGAAAATCAGTCTATTTACATCAATAATGTTAGAGACACAAACTTATTACACCAACTATATATAGCAATTTCTTATTTAGTACAAATAAATAAGTTTCAAAGTGATGATATAAAACATAAAACTAATGAAATGCCAACACATTAATTGGTGTTTAAAAGTCAATTCGCGCATTTGAGCGCGTACCGAGATGCTAGTTATAAAGAAGACTACATTGTTCTTTTGACACAGTCGGAAATATTCCTATCCTATTGGGATTTGACTAGAAAGCCTAGAAGGATTAGGATAAAGTGGTAAGTGGCAACTTATAACGTCCTAATGACAATGGTTTTATCGTCATTTTGTCCCTAAAAATTCAAATTTCAAACATAAATAAACAAATGGAGCTTTAATGAAAAGGATTTGGGCCAACAAATATTTAACCAAAAATCAACCTAAAATATTATTTAACCAAAAGGGCTCAAAGTTTAATAAAAAATCATCCAAAACTATTGTCTACCTTTTTCGTGCCCTTATCCTCCTCGTCCTCGTCAACGTCAACGTCCTCATCCTCATTCTCTTATTAGCACCACGAACAATTTATAGTGTTAGTATTTTATTCCAATTAGATCCAATATGGACCTACGGTCCCGGTGATGTACGTACATGTCAGGCGTCTGTAAATAGGAAAAAAAAAAACCAAAACATAAAAATGTTTCTGGAGAACCCAAAACATAACACTATTTTTGAAAACAGTCTATATTTTAACCTTTGATTGTTTCTTTTCTTTCATGCATCAGTTGATTATATTTAAGAAACATGATGCTTATTTTTCTTTGAATCCAAATACAATGAATTTCACTATTTCTTTTCTAGCTTACATTTAAGAAACAATGTGTCTATTTCATTTAGATCCAGAAACAGTGACTTAGATTTCAGAAACAGTGTTACTTAAAATCCAGAAACAGTTTATTTTTACAGTCTAGAAACAGTGACCCATCGTTATTATTGAATAACGTGCAGATCTCAAATTTGTTTTCTGGAAAAACAAACGATGAACTCCACTAACGAAGAAAAATTGAAAAACAGTATTTCGAATACTTTATGAATAATAACAACGATCACGTTTCAACAAAATAATACAAAATATAAATTAACTTGCATGAGGATCTATATTTTTGTTTCAAAGAAAAAGAAGAAGGTCTGCAAAACAACGATGAACTTCATTAACGACGAAAATCTGGAAGTCAACCTAAAAAAGTTAAGGGTAAAATCGACAAATAATAAGTTATTATAGTTAGACAATTTTTAGTTAGACTACTTTAATATGAGTCTTATACTAATCATTAAACAAAACTTATAACATGATTTTTTATTAAAACTAAAACATTTCAAACGCTTTTCATTAGGTTTTCTATAAAAAAAAAAAAAAAACCTAAAAAATCAGACATTTGTTAAAATAGGATATTTGTTGTCTCTCCCTTCCTACTTAACTAAAAAGACCACATCGGACGCATCAATCCATTCAATCTTGTCAAAGTTTGAAGCTTTTGAGCAAGAACCCTCCTTCCTTTCCCAATCCCCCGATTTCCCAGTTCTGCAATTTCTCCATTGTTTCACTCCAGGCTACCTGAACCTTTCAATCTTCAACTCTCCTGTTCTGAAACAAAAGAGGTAACTTTTTGGTCAAATTTTGTTGGGTTTTTTGTTTTAGATGTTGGTCGATCGTGGGTTTTGTGGGAAATTCGTTAATGTTTTTTTTTTTTTGATCTGATTGTGTAAATCGTATCTGGTTTTCGATTGTATGTGAATTGCAAGTTTTGATTTTTCATGGCGCCTAAACCGTGTTTAGAATCAGCTTGAATGAATGCAAATTCTGAAGCAAAAAAACTGCCTGCGTAATTATAAACTGTATCGTCGTTCGAATAGCTAGCTCTTGTACGAATTTTTGTGCCGTTTTCGTAGGTTTTCGTTGAAGTTGCTCAGTCCTGTGCTTTTGTTTTTGGCAGTTTTGTTGGGTTGATTGGATTTGATGGATACCAATAAGTGGAGGCCTTCTCAAGTTGGAGAGGCCGCCATGGATGCCGGCGATTGGAGGAGTCAGCTGCAGGCTGATTCAAGGCAAAGAATTGTCAACAATCTGCAAGTGTTTTTCTTTGTCCATTTTTTTTTTTGTTTCAAGCGGTAGTCTAATTTAGCGTAATCTAATCTAAACTATGGCGAGAGGACTTCAAACTTAGAACATATTGGTAGTCAGTAACTGATGTTGATTTTATTGCCTGTATAGAATGGATACGTTGAAGAGGCATTTTCCCTTCTCCGGACAAGATGGATTACAGGAACTCAGTAAAATTGCTGTAAGGTTTGAGGAAAAGATTTATACTGCAGCCACAAGCCAGGTGCTTCCATAATACCAGAGTTCTTATTTCTTATGGTGCATGAAATGTTTGTGTACTTAAATACTTGCCTATCTATTACATATATGACTTCTTAAAAAAATGTTGTATATGTTTGAACTTTCTTCATATTTTGGATAGAACTGTATTCTAAATTTAGCATGGATTTTTTTATTTTGTAGTCGGATTATCTACGGAAAATTTCTCTGAAGATGCTCACACTGGAGACCAAGTCTCAGAATTCAATGGGCAATCCTTTACAATCTAACTCTGCTGGTAACAGTAAAAACAACTATTGAAAACTGCCCTTTTCTCTCTTGGCTACCTTTCTTCTTGATGGTTGATCTGTTGCGAGAAATGTTCGTTCTTTTTCTTAATTACTCCCGCATTTCTTAACTGAGATGATTCGTTCTTGATATCTTTATTCGCTCGTATTTAATGGATCAAATGATGAGTACAAATGACATTTATTGTTTTCTTGTTTTGACGCTTGTTTGTATGGTGTTTATTCTTGCTATTTACTTGAGAAGGGTCTTTCGGTATGCAACCCCAGGTCCCCAATCAAGGTATGCAACCCCAAGACCCCAATCAAGGGCAAAATTGCACCTGATGTCTTCCCATAAAAAAGTAATTACCGTCATAAGCAGAAAGTAGGAGCAAAATTGCACCTCAACTGTTTGGGAAGGATAATTTTCCATATCAATGTTTTGCATGCAATGCTTATTTTTTTTCTTTCTCATTTTTAACCCTTGTGTTCAAATTTCATTTTATGTGCAAACATTGACATATATATCTCTCTATATTTTGTAGCTTTTCTAGATTCCTCAGCTCAGACTGGATATGCAAATGGGGGTGATTGGCAAGAGGAGGTCTATCAAAAAGTAAGATGTCCTGACTTCTTGTCCATTTGATGGCTTTCACATACAACATCTAAAGATAAAAAATACAAATTATTTGGCGTGGGGGTGGGAATAGAGCTACTGGAAAATAATTATACTAATGCCAAAATTGCCTTGAATGGGGATTTTGAAGAATTACATGCTAGTTAAGATTCCTTGTGGGGCAGCTTTGTTAAGCTACCATCGGTTGGGAGTTAATTAAAACTTGCTTCATTAGATACAAGCATACATGAATTCATGCTGTCTGAATTCATGAGTATCGGCAAGCATGTAGCTGCAGCAAAGTTCTTTCTAATCATCTTTGTATTTATAACTTTCATTTGCAGATCAAAGTCATGAAGGAAAGGTACGAACCCGAACTAAGTGAAATGTATCAGAAAATTGCTACTAAACTTCAGCAGGTATGTAATCAATTCAATTTTTTCTTCTCTCATAATTTGTTGCTTGAACTTTTAGCAATAAGCAGGGCTTTCCCTGCTAGGTTATTGTGGTGCTGCTCTTTGATAGATTCTACCTTGATCTCCCTTTTAATTATTGTACCCATGTAGACTGTCTACTTGGGATTGTTACCTCACCAATAATGCTAATAAGATTTCGCAACAAAGTTGTTACTCCTTATATTGCCATTCTTTTGCTTACTGATGTCTGGTCTTTCTGTTTGCCAGCACGATTCTCTTCCACAACAACCAAAGTCAGAGCAGCTTGAGAAGCTAAAAATGTTCAGAACCATGTTAGAGCGCCTCATATCAATCTTACAGGTTTCCAAGAGTAACATTTCACCTGGATTGAAAGACAAGTTGGGTTTATATGAGAAGCAGATAGTAAATTTTATTAATACAAATAGACCGAGGAAGCAAGGTCCTCCTCTGCAACAAGGGCAGCTCCC